GCCCTAGTTTAGGCAGGATTTTGACCTAACTTCATGGCAATTTTTCACATAGTTCCAATGGGAATTTTCAAAAGTGACCAACATAGGGGTTGTAAAGGATGTTAAAAGCTTTCGAAAATGTCCAAGAACTCATTGAGATCAGGTTTAAGCAAAGAGAATCGAAGAGATGAAGTTAGGGTTTCATTCTTGATTTACAAGCTATTTCCATGATGAACAAGAATACAAATCCAAGCCTAGCCTATATCATCTTTGCTTTGCAGGACTCAAACTTGTTTGGCACTCATAATTAAATGTTTGCACATCTGTTAGAAGATTTAATCCAAGCATTCAATGCATTGCCCATGCTTAACACCATTTTAGGAAGAAAGGCAACATTGCCATTTTGGAAAAGTGGCTTTTTTTCTTCACAAAGTACATTCTTGAGCTTTGCACTTGTTTTCTTCTAATCACACACAAACTAAAAGCCAGAAGAAACTCTTCTAAAGCCTCAAAACAACTCAGGCCATGCTTGTACTTTGTCTTGAAACCATATTTCCACTTTTCTTCAAAATCAAGCAACATAGCCATAAGTCTATATCTTGTGCTTCCGACTCTCTCAAGTGATACAATCTTTTCCATATATATGCACAAGTTTTTTGCAAGCTAACACACTAATACAAAAACTCTAAAACTCCCTCAAAGTCAGATTTGCACAACAGACCTCCATTGTTGCATATTCTGGCCAGAAATCCCAAAATGAAAAACTACTCGTGCGTTTCTTGTCCTTTTGCTTCCAAAAGCTTCCAAACATCATACCTAAGCGCTCCCTGCCCCTGTTACACGACTGTAACACCATATTCACCCACTTCCAAATTCAAAAATAGAGCATCACAGTTGGACTTCTCCAGACCATTCCAGCCACCTTCAGCTCAAGTCAGCCATTGCATTAGCTTCCTAGAGGTCCAAGGAAGTTAACCTAATCATCACCATCACTTGATACAAGCTCAAACTCATTTCACGATTTCCAGTTTTTAGGTATTTTTCTTGAACTTCTATCTCATTATTTATGCATTGTTAGGCTTGCATTTATGAAGATAGAATGTAGATATCATTGCCCTTAAATTATACATGTCCATAAATAGTGTTGTACCCCAAAATTTCACGATCTTGTGAGAAATTAATTGATAAATGAGAGGGAAAATTTTGGGGTACAACACTATTGATGTACCTTTTGAATACCAGTTTCGTCCTGATATTTGCTTTCAGCAGGTTTTTAGTTGTACGCCCTAATCACCTTGCTTTGGGTCGAGCTTTGACTTTCATCTCCTCGCTCGCGCATGAAATCCAGTTTCATCCTGGTACTCATCTAGTTTAGATTTGTCTAACTAGTTATAATGAGTCGAGTTTCGCCTTGTTTTGTTTTCATATCTCGGACTTCCATCAATGTTTATTTACTGAACCCTTTATCGGTTTTCGTTTACCAAGTCTCTTTGCAGTGTTCGCAACTGCGTCCCTGGTTGAAATCAGTCTCCTTTGTTCCTTGGATTCTTCTATCAGTTTTCGTTACTGTTTATCCATTAATCTGAGACAAGTAAGTGCTATGGGAAACATGCGCTATCATCACTTCACTTTGGGTCGAGTTTTGATCTCGTCGCCTGTGCATGAAATCCAGTTTCGTCCTGGTACTCATCAAGTTTAGTTTTGTCTAACTAGTCATAATCAATCTAGTTTCTCCTCGTTTTGTTTCTTACTCTTGGGATTCTTTCAGTTCCTTCATACTGTCTATCTTGGGTTGAAACCTTGTCTCTCTAATAATCTCTGCGGGCCTTTCAGTTCCGTCTCATTGTCTTCCCTTGGTTAGAGACCAGAAGGTGCTCTGAGAAACATGCACTCTCATAACTTTTGGTATGGGTCGAGTTTTTCCTCGTTACCCGTGTGTGAAATCCAGTTTCATCCTGGTACTCATCTAGTTTAGTTTTGTCTAACTATTTATAATGAGTCGAGTTTCGTCTCATTTTTTTTCTTACTCCTGGGGTCCTTTCAGTTCCTTCATACCGTCTTCCCTTAATTTGAGACTAGCAGATGCTCCTAGAATCACGTGCTCTAGTCACTCCGCCCCGCGTACTTTTCCAGAGTTTAGTTTCTCCTATTCTCCGTGGTTTGAGTCTTATCTCACCCCTTTTTTGGTCCGGTTTTATCCTGAGACATTTATTCTGAAGTTTAGTTTCGTCTACTCTTCTAAGTTTTAGTTTTGTCTCAAATTTGTTAAAATCAGTGTTACAGCTTCATTCTGACGCATGTCTTAGGAGGTCCAATTTTTAGTAAAGTCTTTGTTTACTAAATCCAATTTCGTTTGGTATCTTCTAAATCCCGCACCTGCTGGCATTCTTTGTCTTTGGGGGGTTCCGCTTCTTCTTCAAGAGTGTAAATTTCGGGTTCTTTTGTATTCAATCATCTTCAACCCTGAACGCTCGAAAGTTGTCACTTTTCTCACTTATCTGGTTAAAGATAATTGAATAGGGGTAGTTATTGCACCCCAAAATTTACCCTCTTGATTTAGGCTTATGTTTCATCATAATCATCATATTGCACCACATTCATGCATTGTGATGAGATCAAGGTTTTTTTAGTTCTCTACAAGCTATGGATTTTGGTTGTATTGCCAATCAGCCCAATACGGATCTCATCTCCTTATTTACTTTGATCATTCGGGTTACCAAAGCTTCTCAAATCCTCAGGGTATCTCATTTGATTCCTTGTGCCATTAAAGAATTGAATTTGCAAGTGTTGATTCTTGAATAATTGTTCTCTTATGTATCTCTCGAGATTAGGGTTTATTTCCTTATATTCCTCGTAAGATTAGGGCATCATCTGAAGTTGACTTATACAAGAGGATTTTGTCAAGACGAAAGGGCATGAAGATTTATCTTAATAATTCACTAATCACTAGTTCAAGAAGCCTTATTGTTTAAGGTGAATTTTGGTTACAAAGGATGAGGTTTTGACCAAGACATCTTTTGTTGTCTTCATTTAATTGAGGCTTGTTGGTTCGTATCTGAGATTGAATTTCGAACTCGAGAATTGAGTTGAACTTAGGTTCATTATTATTTTGAATTTAGATTGTTTCAAATTAATTGAAGCGCTTAATGTTTGCAAGGTTAGGAAGATATAGTTGGATTTCATAGATCAAGTAACAATGGCATATTCATCTACTATTGCATTGTTCATCATCTATTATTCAAGATCTATCCATAATCAAGAGTCAATTCTCTCGTCATCCTAATTCGTTAATAATGCTAAATTTCCTATAAGGTTTTGAGGATAGTTATTCATTTGTTATAAAAGAATCAATATCATCCAAAATTCTCCCAAAATTCTTTCTTTGTCATGAAAATATCAAGAAAAGGTATTCAAGTTCCTTCGAGTTTAAGAGCGATTCAAAATCCATACAAGTGACTATTTTGAATCAAGTTTAACAAGTGGATCCATTTTCTAAGTTTGAAAGATTTGTTCACTTGGGAGTAATAAATTACAAGACAAGATTCAAGGTTTAGTTCAAGTTTCTCACTCAAGTTCACTCGATGCATCTTTATTCATCACTCAATGCTATTCAAAATTTCCAACAAAATTCTTCATTCACCATTACAAAAAAACATTACAGCAAAAAGAAGTAAAACAAGATAAACATATCCTAATCTCCATGCCAATTGTATGCTTCCAACCTCATGCTAAATGCCTTGCAAATATGCGGATTTTATTTACCATGAGTCCATCGTCCTATGCTATGTACCAGCCCTGCATCTGTGAAGTCAGGAGAGTATAAAAAATAGGAAAATATAAAAGGGAAAGGGTGAAAACCGTGTGCAAGGGGGGTCACATCAATTAAACTGCTGCACTCAAATACTAACTACATCAGTGAAAAACCAGCTTTTATCAGAAAATCTAGAAGTAAAATCGGCACCAGTTCAAAAAAGAAATATCAGAACAGAAAATTAAAAATATCAGAAAATTATTTTACAGCCCGACAATATTAGGAAACTTTGAGAACAAGCTAAGGGATATTCAATCCTTACCCTCCATTTTTTCTAACAAACGCTCAAATACATGGTTAAGATTTCTCCAATTTGTAACTGACTTTGCCATCTCCAGCTGCATATAAAACCTCATCTTTCCTCTTGATCGATTCAGAGGATACTTCTGCAGGAAAAAAAATCACAAAATCATGTAAAGTAAAAACTCAGAAAATAAAAAATCCTCAAACTAACCTCAGAATTATTTCAATCCTCACCATCCATTTTCTAACGATTTTTAGATCCAAAGGCCAGGATCGCTTCGACTGTAACAAATTTCTACTGCTATATAATAAACTTTCTCTTTCAATTTGAGGGGATTCTTCAACTTTCAGAAGAATCACAAGAAATATCTTCAACCTTGACTCTTATCTCTCTCTGGAAATCCACAGAAAAGACCTCTCCTTTATCAGATCCATTATTCTATCATCTTCATCTTTACCATTCTTCAGAACTCAGAAGAATCGCTACTGAGATAATCTGAAACTCTCTCTACTCTCTGCAAGAAATGATAACCGAACCTCGATCTTCATTTGTTCACGGTCTTCATTCAACCAAATAATAATAACATTGCATCACGCTCCTGAACCGAAAATAGCGTCATCTTCATCCGCAGATCGCGCGCTCTTCATCCATAACTCGCGCGCTCCTTACATCGCAAGAATAACAACCTTCATTTCTGAAACACAAGCGCGTACCTCACTGCATCATGAATTTTCACGCCAATGATATCCTTTAACTTCACCACGTATTCAATTTCATCATGCTACTGCATTAACAATAAAGCAAACGCAAACAACACGGACGAATCTGCCGACATCAGACCGCAACAAGAAACGGAATTAAGAGGAGGAGTAAAAGAAAGGTCCAGAAGAGATTTAAGTATGGAGTTCGTTACCTAAAAAAAGGAGACTCGTCTTTCATCGCTACAAAAACCTTGGGATCTTCTTTTCAGTGTCCGTCGTAACGAATCTCTGAGTTCGTTAGACTTTTCGATATGGTCACCGACCGAGGTTCCATGATGGAGGTAGATGAAAGAGATCGGAGAACTCGAGGAAGCTTGTTCACAGATTGAGATAGAGATGAATTAGAGAGAGACGAGATGATACAATTTTCTGTGGTAGCCGGATGTTGATGTTTGACCGAAGAAGAAAGGTTGAGCTGCAGCGCTGTGAGAAGAAAGGGAGAGAGTTCTTGTTCACAAAGAAGCTGAACCATCACAATTCTAAACCCTTCCAAGAAAAACACAATGTTTCTCATTTATGGATAAATTTTTTTTAAATTTATTTTATTTATATTTTTATTGAAAATTATGAACAAAATATGGTGATGGATTGATGGTTATGTTAGGGGATTTGGCCAAACTCTATGTTCTCCTCAGGCTCGTTATCACTTATTTTTGCAGCCTGGAGATTACTCAGCAAAAAAATGCTTCTTGGATATTGCTGGTTGGGCCTTGGGACAACTTTTGCAACCTACATTCTAAATCCAGCTTGCACATCCTTTTTGGTTTGGTTAATTGAATTTCCTTTCAATAATTCTGCAATTTTTTTCTTGTCATTAGTTTTGATATCATAAAATTGTGATGAAATGATACAAAAAAAAAGTAGAATATTCACATTGATTTTAAATTTTCTCTTTTAGAATTTAATTGAGAGTTTGTCTTTAATTTCTTTCATATTTCATGATTAATTCTTGTTGCTATTCTGGTATTGGTTTTGCGATAACATGTTGATTTGGAATGTTAAGCGCTTGGAGATTAACTCGTTTGATCACTTGTATGAAGTATCTTCTGTAGAGTTTTTTTCTTTTCTTTCGTGGCTTTGAAGAGGCAACGAACATACTCTGTTAGGTATCATCGTGACTTCGTTCATCATTTCCGCACTTCACCGCTTTTCTAGATATCATGAGAAGTAGGAATTTTTCTGCTTTCTGATTCCATGACAAGTAGGAATAGAGATGTATGAAGGGGGCCTCCGTTGCTGATCATGTCAGGAACCCCTCTGGTTTATTTAAAGACTTGTTTAAGGCAATTCTATCGGTGTGCTAATTGTGTTTGTTTAAAACCCTACCTTTGAAGTAGGTATTCTATAGGTGTGTTTACATTTGTGCTCGCATATATTATAGATGATAAGTCCTCAAAAGGAGGCAAGCAGAGAGGGTTCATAATCGACCCCTGCACATTCCAGTCAATGTCGTTCCTAATCTCACTTTCTACAAGTAGATGCTTCGAACATATGCCCAAGATCTGAATGAATTTAAGTCCTTTAAAGGAAAGTGAAAAGGGTTCCCGCAATCAGATTACCATGCTTTCTTTAGCTTGTGTTGACCAACACTGATGCTTAGTGTACACATGCACTATGTCTTTTCCCCCAGATCTTTCTTTCCCTGGTAATTGATATCACAGTTAAGGACCCTTTTATAATCCTATAATTCTATAGCTTGTTGACTCAGGTGATATGCTCCCCTTGGCTATGGCTTGACCCTTGGTCTGATGCTTGGTTGCTTGTCTATGGCAGGACCTACCCTTCTACTACTAGGCCTGCGCCTTGTAGGTGCTTGATATTTGAGTGATGCTCGAGCTTTTGTTTGTCCAGATATTTTGCCATTTGTTTGCTTGTTTTTTTTGTCACAGAATCTGTGACATTTTTGCTGCTTCCCTTAGGATCACTCGATTAGAGTAGCTTTTGAGCTAGACATTAGGATAGATATTCATGCATGCTAACTTAGGGTATAAGCTCCCTTTTCATCCTCAACCTTAGGGTCAATCATTGTATGATAACATTAGGAGTAGTGTTAGGCTAGTCTCCCTTAGTTATTTTTCCTTTCTTTGCATATTGCATCTTAAAACTAAAACTTATTCTGGAAAATCATAAAACATCTCTAATGAACTTAAATCCTTCTTCAAGGTAAAAAATACAAACCAACCTTAATTGTTTGTGCGCCTTTTGGCTTTGTTTTAAACATATTCAATTGGATGTTTTACCATCCTTGCCATGATATTTTGCTATCTTTTTGTCGATGTTTCGCCATCGCACATGTTTGTTATCCTACTTTGATTCTCAATATCATTGTTAGGTGATATGTTTTATCATCTGAATTGTGATGCCTCGCCATCTTTGCCATGTTATCTTGCGATCTTTTAGCCGATGTTTCGCCATCACATATGGTTGTTGCCGATGTTTTGCCATCACATGTGTTTGTTATCCTACCCTGATTCTCAATATCATTGTTAGGTGTGAAGTTCTATCATCTAGATTGTTGATGTCCCGTCATCTTCGCCATGCTATCTTGCTATCTTGCTATCTTTTTTCGATGTTTCTCCATCGCATATGTTTGTTTCCGATGTTTCATCATCACGTATGTTTGTCATCCTACTTTGATTTTTGATATCATTGTTAGGCATAATGTTTTGTCGTCTTGTCTGATATTTTGTTATCACGCTGACGTCTTATCATCTTATATGAGTTTGTGTTACCATGTGATGTATTGTCATTCCTTTTTATTGTTTTACAATTTTTGTTGATGTTTTGTCATTTTATCTGATGTTTTGCCATCTTGATTGTTGCTTCTGTCTTCTTAACTAAAAAACACAAACCAACCAAAATATATGAGCCGAACTATAGCTGCTCTGATTCCTTAAAAGGGATACGTAGGAAGAGGATTTCGTGGGGCCTAATCGAGCATATCTTTGTAAATATCCCTTTCTTACCCCACAATTTCTTTTACTTTTTCTTTGCATGCATTCCCTTCTCAGCTTTAAGCCTAGATATAGATTTTACACACCCTTAGATTAGAACAACAAGAGTGGATACCATAGAGTACTACGGGCATGTGGGGTTCTAATACCTTCTCCTCACATAACATACTCCCTTACCTGATCTCTCAGTCGCAAGACCGTGATTTCATCTTCTCAGGTTTTCTCGATGTTCACCTTTCCCTTTCGGCGGGATAAAAGACGTTCGGTGGTGACTTCATTGATTTTATTATCAGATGACGGTTCTGCCGGTTGTTTCATTATGAAAGGAATCAAATCTAAAGACAACTGTTATTTATGGGTTCCCCAAGAGTTCAACTTTTCCTCAACATGTGTTTTAGCCAAAGAAAATGAAGTTAAACTATGGCATCAAAAATTGGGACACTTGCATATGAAAGGAATGAAAAGAATCATATATTAAGAAGCAGTGAGAGGGATTCCTAAGCTCAATACAGAAGAAGGGAGAATATGTGGTGACTTTCAGATTGGAAAGCAAACTAAGATGTCACATCAGAAGATCCAACATCTTACTAAATCAAAAGTTTTTGAACTTCTTCACATGGACTTGATGGGACCTATGTAGGTTGAAAGTCTTGGTGGAAAGAAGTATGCCTGTGTTGTTGTAGATGACTACTCTAGGTAGACATGGATAAGTTTTATCAGAGAAAAATCAGAAACTTTTGAAGTGTTTAAAGATCTTTGTTAAAAACATCAAAGAGAAAAACATAGTCATGTCATCAGAATCAGAAGTGGTCATGGAAAGGAATTTGAAAATAATAAATTTGTTGATTTTTGCTCTTCTGAAGGAATCAGTCATGAATTTTCCTCTCCCATTACTGCTCAGCAAAATGGGATTGTGGAACGCAAAAACAGAACCCTTCAAGAATTTGCCAGAGCTATGATTCGTGCTAAGAAGTAACCCTACTACCTTTTGGTTGAAGCTATGAATATTGCGTGCTATATCCATAACAAAGTCACTCTAAGGAAAGGCACTTCAGCCACCTTGTATGAAATGTAGAAGGGAAGAAAACCCACTGTCAAATACTTTCGTGTTTTTGGAAGTAGATGTTACATCTTAGCTGGTCGCAAACAAAGGAGGAAGATGGATCCCAAGAGTGATGAAGGAATGTTCCTGGGTTACTCTACAAATAGTAGAGCCTACAGAGTCTCTAACACCAGAACCAAGGTTATGATGGATTCCATAAATGTTATTATTGATGATAGAGGATGAAATGATGAAGAAGATGTCATAGAATATGTTGGAACATCCTTGTCTGATATTTCAATAGAATCAAATGACAGAAGTATTGATTCTAATCCACCTCAAGAAGATCCTGAGCCTAATCATCTCAATAAAGGGCCTTTAATTATAACCCAGAGATCATCCTAAGAAGCTTATTATAGGAGATCTAAATAAAGGAGTTACTACTAGATCAAGAGAAGGGATATCAAACTATTTCTTTGTTTCAAAAATTGAGCCTAAGAATGTCAAAGAGGCCTTAGCTGATGAGTTATGGATTAATGTTATGCAAGAAGAGCTAGGAAAATTTAGTAGAAATAAAGTTTGGGATCTAGTTCCAATACCTGAAGGGATAAATGTGATTAACACAAAATGGGTGTATAAGAATAAAATTGATGAAAAGGGGTGTTCACTAGAAATAAGGAAATATTAGCTGCACAAGGATACACTCAAATTGAAGGAGTTTACTTTGATGAAACCTTTGCCCCTGTAGCTAGACTTGAATCAATCATACTACTCTTAGGAGTTACATGCATTCTGAAATTAAACTGTTTCAAATGGATGTAAAGAGTGCCTTCTTAAATGGCTATCTGAATGAGTAAGTTTATATGGAACAAACTAAGGGATTTGTTGATCCAAGTTTTGCTAAACATGTTTACAAACTGAAGAAAGCTCTGTATGGATTAAAGCAAGCTCAAAGAGCTTGGTATGAGAGATTAATAGAATTTCTTGATGAGAATGGATATAGGAAAGGTGACATAGACAAAAATCTTTTTGTCAAGGAAGAAGAAGGGAAGATCATGATTGAACAAATTTATGTTGATGATATTGTATTTGGTGGGATGCCAAATGAGATGGTTCAACATTTTGTCAAGAAAATGCAGTCAGAATTTGAGATGAGACTTGTTGGTGAATTAACCTACTTTCTTGGTCTACAAGTTAAACAAATGGGCGACTCCATATTTTCATCTCAGAGCAAGTACGTGAAGAATATTGTAAAGAAATTTGGGATGGAAAATTCCAGTCACAAAAGAACACCTGCTCCCACACATCTGAAGTTGTCTAAAGATGAAAAAGGAGTAAGTGTGGATCAAAGTCTTTACATAAGTATGATAGGCAGTCTTCTATACCTCACAGCCAGCACACTTGACATTGCCTTTGTTGTAGGGGTGTGTGCTAGATATCAAGTTGATCCTAAAGTTAGTCATGCCAACCATATGAAGAGAATTCTTAAATATGTGAATGGGATAAGTGACTATGGTA